CGTCGGCCTCTGTTCCGCAATCTAGTGCCAATCACCGACGGACATCGATTGCCATCCATTGACGGCAACCGAATGTGCAGGAAGGCAGCTTCCACACCTGCGTAGGATATCGCACCCATTCACAACAACACACATGGGCCGGGACCAACGGCTTTACTTCCCTTCCGAAGGAAGACGTGACCAGAGATTTTTATGCCTCAGAAAAATCCCACCGACCTCGACTGGTATTGAACCCAGACCCATTGGGGTGTTAGAAAGCAGTCACGCTTACCACTACACCACCGGCGCCGGCTACCTCTACCATTATTGCTTTAGTATAATTGTGTGGCAAGTTTAATCATACTCTATGCCCAGGGAAGTCGAGAAATATTCCAACCCGAAAAATTCTTAGACCGGACCGAGAATCTAACCCAGCCACCTCCAGCATGGTCTTGCTTTGTAGCTGTACCTTTACCGACTGAGCTAAGGGAGGCCGATCATAAAGCATCTCTTTCAAAGCTTAACAAAATTATGAACATTGACCTTGATGATCGAAGATGATCGAAATTCATGGTGACTATGACTACTGTATCTATTCCATATCAATCAAGGTTTTGTTTCTTGTGATCAACTGTAGTGTGGTATATAAACAAGTTCTACACTAAACACAAAACTATGTTTTAAAAAATTTATCAACTCCTGAACATCTCGCACAAATAGAATCTACGGCTGATTATATTTGCGTGCTCTCTAGCGCCACCTAGTTGAAGATTTCTAAAATGATCTGTTAACCACCCAGACCTTCTGATCAACTTTGCCGAAAACATTACCCGTCTAAATAATTAAGATATTGAGATACAGCAGCACATCATATTTGCATATGGGATGCTCACAAGCACCACCTAGTGAGAGATCTGTCAAAAACCCGGCAGTTGACCCCTGATCAACTTTGTCGAAGGCATCTGTGACAATTTCCGATTAAGACTGGAGAATTGTCGCATCTTGACCTAATATCTTTAAGATATCGGCAAACATAGTCAATTTACCGTGCTAATTATAGGCAACGATATTGCGGAAGAGAATAGTGGTTCAAAGTGTAGTACCACACTGCTCTCGCTCAAATTTTTACTCAGGCCGGCTAGCCACTCACAAATTGAAAGGTGCACTAGCAACCGATGGACCAAATGCAAAGTGAATTCAATTTCATTAAGGAAACATTCAATTATGGCACGGTAATGTAACGTGGTATTTGTGGCTCAATAGTCTAATGCTCATCCTACCTCTACTACGCCTAACATACATACATTAATCTCCTCTCCTCGGACTTCTTCTTCGTTGCATTTATCGTTGGGGGCCCCGTCACACCTTCATCTGCATGCCAATGTTGAGCGATGTGTTGCTCTTTGTCAAACAACTTCGAAGGTTACGACCTTGGTTGCATTACAGTGTGCGGCGTTGCTGTAGCTTTGATGCGCTGGAACCTATCGCGCCACAAGATTTGTCGCAATGTTGGCGATGAGTCTCACCGACTTGTAGCTCGGACAGCCGACGTCGCACTGTTACGCGACGTTTGTCGCACGGCTAGAATCCGTCCTACCGTATTGCCGCTCTCTCTTTCTTTCTCGACTTGCACGTCACAGCCTTTGTACAGCCTTCGAAGGGCACTTTCAAGGCCTTGTCGCTCGATCTAGCGAGGGTCAGGGACAACCGATTTGCCAAACGCGGCTGGGAAACAGTGGGAAAAGTAGAATTGCTCGGCCTATTCCACACGGTCGGGTGCGTTGGCGTCACGTCGATGAACCAGCGGATTTCAGACTGTAAATAAAGGCCCTCTGTCGAAGGCCTTCGTGTATTCTGCGTTGTAGAGTCTGAAGTAGAAGTGTAGTTGAAGAAGTGAGTCGTCGCATTTTGACGAATTTGACCTCTTGTTCGTTGGTCTGGAACGTGCCAATCTCACAACACTGCCTTTCTGGAGTCTTTAAAATTTTAATGCCCAAGGCTTATAACATGCCTGCTATCGACACAATTTCCACCAATTGTTCGTTCACACTATTGTTGGTTCCCACTATTGTTGGTGCGATCGTGCGAGAGTGCATTCAATGCTAGTTGCTTTAGTGACATAGTGCGACAAGAAGAGTTGATGATTGGTGATCTAGTTTTTATTGATCTCGAAGTATAGGGTAATTTCGATGATTGTTGGCGCATTTCGTCGGCATAATCTCGAATATGTAACTCATCATCCTTCGATATAAGTATCTGGAAATACAGCAGCATCATATCACGGGTCTAAATAATCAGGATCTTGAGATGCAGCAGTCCTGAATATTTGTATGCTTACTAGCACCATCTAGTGGTAGAAATCTGGATTGATCCCAGCAGTCTTTGGCCTTCTGGTCAACTTTGCCGAAGACATCACCCGTCTATATAATCAGGATCTGGATATACAGCAGTACAGAATATTTGCATGCTTACTAGCACCGCCTAATGGAAGAATTCTGAATTGATCTGTCCATCTCCCAGCAGTATTTGGCCTCCTGATCAAATTTGTCGAAGTCATCACCCATCTAAATAATCAGGATCTTGAGATACAGCAGCACACTTTATTTGCGTGTGGGATTCTCAGTAGCGTGGCCTAGCGACATAATTCCGAATTTATTTGTCCACCACCCAACAGCCCTTGACCTTCTGATCAACTTTGCTGAAAACATCACCCTTCTAAATAATCAGATCTTGAGGTACAGAAATGCATGGTGTGGGGTGCATATGCACCATGGTTATCATTACAGGGCTAAAACACAATCGAGTAAGCTACTATCCAAGCAGCGAAACGGATTTTTAGACGTTTAATGGATGACTCAAGATTATTTTCATCAAAACACGACAAGATTCAGGTCTGTCATCAAAATTTACAACTCGAACACACATGTTTCCTTTTATGTACTTTTTTCTTATACTTCATCATATTACTTCATATCTTTACTAATGTTAATTATTAATGTAGGTTTTCACTTCATCCTTCGCTTTTTTCACATTTGTTATTTTTTGTTGTTGTTTTTCTTCCTTCAGTTATTATAATTAAGTACACATAAAATTTAAATTTAATAGATTTAATAGATTTTTAAATCGTTTTCGTATACATACTTTCGTTTCTTCATTTTTTTCTCAATTTTTCTCTAGAGATACCTTTTTTGTTCATTAGTGGTTTTTTGTTCTCTCTTTGTATTATTTTGCTTCCATCGGATGAGTGTATGTGTGAGTGTGAATGTGTTGGAAAACAAACTTGTACCCAATCAGTTAAATGCTTACAATGTGATAAAATATTGCAACTACGCTGTTGTACTGGCTGTAACTTATATGGTGCATTGTTGCAGTAGTAAAAAGCAAAAGAAGGACAAAACGAAATACAAACCAAAACAAACCTTTTGTCAAATCAAGTTCACAACTCTGGAAACAAAAAGCTAAGTTCGTGGAATCTTGATTCGCAACCAAGTTGACGAACAACAACCAAAAGAAATCACTATACGCATGACAATATGTGTGTTTGTGTGTATGTGTGTGTGCTGTGTTGTTTGTAGACTGTCGGTCGAAATTCTTTTGGGGATTTCCTGAGAAGCTCTCCTTCCAATCAGAAGTGCTGCCAGAAGTTTCGATCCAAACAAGTAGGGAACTGAAAACCTGGCCGAAGAGCATCGTTCTTTCGTTCGTGGTGACGACGACGATGACGAGTGCTCAGTTGTCGGTGTGTTGGTTATATCTTAACGGTAAAAAGCCACTAGATATTACTTTAATTTTGTTTTGCTCTCGATCTTTTATGTTTCTCCCAAACTGAAATTTTCTATTAAAATGATTGGAAAATAGTTTTTTGTTTGTTTGTTCATAATTCATAGTTTTAAATAGTATATTTTCAAACTTTTTTCATTAATTAATAGTTTTTTTTTTCATTATTATTATATCGTATACAAATGATTTGTTCGCTTAATTTTTTGTTTCATCAACTCGCATTCTCTAAAATGTGTCACACAGGTTTTCTAGGAGACCTAGGCCAAAGCCAGTGGTATCCAGCGTTGCCAAGGTGTGCTACCGGGTAGTATCGGCAGCGCCCAAGGCTTGTCTTCGTTCCATTAGCATTTTTGTTTTCTTTGCGCTTGCACATATTGTCAATATTTTTCTTTTGTTCTCTGCGTGTGGCTGTGGATATTATTTTTATGTTTTAGTTGCTGTCTGTTGCGCATGCATACAAACTTACACGCTTGTAGTTGTGTTAGTGTAAATGACAGGGTTGCTAGTTTAACCTTTTGTTGTTGCTGTTGTTGTTGTCTCTATAACTTTAAGTACAAATCCTTCCTGGCGGGGAGTAGAGCTAAATTTTGGTATAGCGAATCGTATAACTGGGTTTCGATTTTTTCCTTCTTTTTGATCGTTTCGAAAAGTTTTTAAAAACTTTGAAAATTGTATACTTGTGTGTGTTCTTGTGTTGGTTTGTTTCTTTCTTATGTGTGAGTTGAAGAGTATGTTGTTTTGTTGTCTATTCGTCTACAGATATTTTTTTTCAAATGGAAGAAATGAAAATGCTCCAAATGCGTCTACTCTAAAAATAGCTTTGTTCCTCCAATCTTCGCTGGAAAAAGGAAACAATTTTGTTGCGTAATCTTCTGGTTGCACTAACTTGCTTTAATTCAATTTACGTATATGTATTTGAGTGTGGCTAACTCGTTCGGGATTGTCCGCGAAGGAGTTTTCCCAGAGCCACGTCCATGGCCATTGTGGGTAATGGTGGATGTTTTTTTTTCTCTCAGAATATTCAGCTAAGGGCTGCATCTTCTGTTGGATCATGACTTACTGTAATAGTATCGTTTTGTGTTTCTCTTTTTTCCCTATCGTCTAATGGTATACACAATAGTTGTTTTTCTTTTAAATTATCCTCTATCGGTAGAATTGAAGTATTCATAACGTTGCTGGCTTTCTTACTTATTTGTGTTAGTAGATTTCGTGTAGGTCAATTAGGAGAATCTGTTGTGGAGAAGAAAAACACATCGGTTCAGAAACCAAGGTATAGTTGTGATGTATTGCGATAGAGTAATGGAGTTATATCTGCTCAAAGCAAAACACGCAAATCAATCAATCCCGAGTCGGTCGAATTCAAGCTTCGAATGGTGATTTGTTTGGGCATTAATATATGTACGCGCGCTCTCACTAAACATAAACAAATCGCTGCTCTCGGCATCTGGGCGGATGTTTGTAAAAGTAGGATAGAAATGCGCTCGTAGTGTAAATAACTAAAATTATTGCAGCGTTGATTTATGTAAAATTTCACTAATGCGTAGAACGGGGGGAGATAGGACCACAATAACCTACTTCTGGAGAAAGTTGTACGTATTCATCAACGAACGAAGCGAGCAATGCTTCAACTCGTCATCTTACCTTCGATAAGAATGATCGTTTTCTAATTGCTTGATTGCAAATGGTAAACCGATTTTTTTTTCGCATGAGATAAAATTTAAATTACTTTGCTTTTTTAAATAATCATCAGCTTAAAAATAAAACTAACCCACTTTTAAGTGCATCAAACCACGAAACAAAGTAATCCTTTTACTCCGTTCTTGATCCTGGGTTCAGAATATATCCAAACCCAGAGTCCCTCTCTCTCACTCTCGCCCACTTTTGAACTAAACTATAACTTCTACCGGTTGCCTACACAGCTGCACTCTATCCGCCATTCAGAAGGGGGGGGGTGCCTGTTTTCTTAATCATTATTATTCGTACGCACTCTCGCGGTTAGGACTCACTCTAACTTACTAAGCTTTACTACCGGATTTGCGCTCTAGTACTCCGCATCTCAAGGACTCAGATCCTGGTGGCCGCCCATCGGGTCGTAACCCATGCTGCCGTCGTACGCTTGCTGCTGATCGTAACCACCGGAACCGAGCGAGTAGCCCATGGAGTCCTGGGCGGGTGCGGGGGACATCATCGGAGTGGCCGCACCACTCGGTGGTCCACCCATTGAGTACGGCGATGCTCCGGCGGCCTTCTTGGCGGCGTACAGATTCGCCTCTTCCTGGGCCTTACCGATGTTCTTCTTGTAGCGAATGCGCTTGTTGCCGAACCAATTCGACACTTGGGAGACCTGGAAGGCAACGGTTGTTCGACATATGTGGATGGGTATCGTATTTCACTTATAATAGCCACGATTAAACTTACGGTGATGCCACATTTTCTGGCCAGTTCCTCTTTGGCCTCTTCCGAAGGGTAGGGATTGCTGAGGTGGCTGTAGAAGTACTCGTTAAGGATTTCAGAAGCCTGCTTGCTGAAGTTGCGTCTCTTTCGTCGGGCGTCCAGGAAGCGGGATCTGGAATTAGCAAAAGATGATTTGACGGAAAATGAATACCTCCGGTTGTTTTTCAATTCGGTCCTTGTGCTGTGCATTATTTCCTAACTCGATCCAGCTAGGTACGAAATTATTGAAAATACTTCAATTTTATGTTTGAGTATGTTTTTAGAACTTGAATTTTGATTACTGTCGAGTGTTGATAATGTTGAGATATTTGCAAGGGGTAATCAACTCTGCACATTGTGCCGAAACACAGCATGCCACACTTTTCGACACGTAGGGCACACGTTGACACAAACAATATTATATAAAACGGCAGAACTGTTGAGTTTTTGCAACCATAGTACTACTTTGTTTACTTCAGATACTGAAAAAAATAATTGAAAAAAAATCAATGGACAGCTGACTTCCGATTCCGCCCCTGGTGAACCATTGTCCAGACCGAATCATCTCGGAGTCATCTGCAGGAGATCGTCTAACGTTACCTATAACGCTGCCGGTTCTACAACGTTGCAGGGAAAATACAGCATAATATCGAAGACTACACAACAAGAAGACTGGCAACTGTTCCCTTCTCCCATACAAATTTCAAACGTCACTGATTACAGCGCCGCTGTCAACCAAAGGTGGAACTTTGAAGCACAAGTGTTAGTTAGACTGTTCCCTTCTCCCATACAAATTTCAAACGTCACTGATTACAGCGCCTCTGTCAACCAAAGGTGGAACTTTGAAGCACAAGTGTTAGTTAGACTGCTCATAAATAGTGACTGTGTGTGTGACCTAATGTCACCGAAACAAATAATCATAACACGACAGTCGTTGTTGTTTTTGTTTTGCTCTACAAAATTTCACGGCAATTTGTATCCTAATCCCAGCAAGCCGGTGGTTATCCAACTCTAACCCGAAACACTTGTCATAGTGGATCAAGTAGAGGATTGAAATTCGGATCGATACCTAGTGAAAATAACTTTTACTTGTGAACGATGAACCGAAATATTGTTTATTTTGTCCGTTGGAAGCAATCAATTATAAGGAATTGGCAGCTTCCACCACCATTGAGTGAACTACCGTCATTCGGAAGCTGCTGAAAATTCAAGGATTCAAAAAGAAGAAAGATCCGGTACCTACATCACGAACCAATGGAAGGCGTAACAGGATCTAATGTTGGAGAAAATGAAAATGAAAGGTTGAAGGACTACAATCCCAAACGGTACGTATTGATAAAGAATATATTTCCATTTGAGATGTTGTCAGAACATGAAACCACCGGATAGTGATCCTCTGTATGCTTTAACAACTCTTGGAATCGACTGACCCATTCCAACTTGAACCCCCCACTGTGGCCAGGTGTCAAAGCCATGCGGAACGGACATGCATTTTACTAATGCACCATACGAATGCCCATAAATGCATCACTAAAGGGCTTAGGAAAAGTGGAAGTTAATTCTGAGATAGCAAACTAATGATCGAGGAAGGTCTCATCATCGTTGTGAATGGCATCATTGCCATAGTTTTTATTTTCAAAAAAATTTAATTACTTATCTGTTCAATTTCAGCTCGTTTTCAGCATAAAGCAAAGAAATAAACGTTTCACTTCTTACGACAATCATAACAAAACCAATAATTGACAGCTATTTATGAATGCACGCATGAATTAACACACACCATCATACACAGGTTCCACTTTTGCTCAGAAGAGGCGTTGCCGTTACTTTCTCCTGATTTTTGGCAGAGTTGCCAGTCTTCTTGATTTGTGGTCTTCGATAATATTCAAGACGTTTGGCAGACGGACACGGATTGAGGCAACATGATCATGGGATGGGATCACTACCTGCTGGATGGATTTTACTGTGCCAAGAATAAATTCGTATTCTCCCGATTCTTCCCCGCCGGCTCTTCTAGTCCAGCATTACAAATGCTTCCATATTAGGACATCACAGTATGCAACAAGATATCGCAAAATACGCCATGTTCCCCTTCATTGTTTCATTGTGTGCGCTGTACGAAATTGCGGAATTCGGGAATCACTCATGAGACGCTACGTATCATTGCACAGTGGTCCAGAATGCAGATTTAGGTGGAATGATATGTTTTGAGCCTGAAATTGAAACTTTAGTCTAAAAGTCTCTTCTACAAAGTTGTTCCTTATAGTTAGGCCCTCATTTTTATGACAATGAATTCTAGGGTGGTTCTTAATATCATTAAAATCAAAAATTTAACTTTTTTGTTTGAATAAATTAAGGTATACATTTTTCTGCAAAGTTGTAGCTGAGCTAATTTCAAGCAACTTTGTTGAAAACAACTTTTTTGTATCTCTTAAATTGGCCGATTTAAAGCTATTTTCCTGAATTGAGTTAGGGTGGCGCTAAAAAAACAGTTATTTTGCTATAATTTTCTTATTTCGAATTTCTCAGCAAAGGTGTCTTGAAATAACTTTTAGAACTTTTTTATTTGAAATTTCTCATGAAAGTCATCTTCCAGAGACTTTTAAAACTCTTTAAGACGAATATTTTATGGTGAATTTGTTGTCTGTATCTCTTCTAATAAAAAAGATGTCTGTATCTCTTCTAATAAAAGATGAATGTATTAAAAAATATGAATAAATTCAAATTGATTTTATACGAGTTAAAAAAATAACATACCTCCAATTTTTTCACATTATTGAGAATAGCATACGCCCTTTCAAATGTTGTAAAAAAACTTTTTTTATGTTTGCCCCAACCAGAGATATTATCATTTGAAAAGTGCATATTTTTAGCATAAAAACGTCAATAACTCTTGATTGACCAAAGATATTGACAAGCTTTATCTAAGATCTAGAAGTTATATGAAGACATCTTTGCTGAGAAATTCGAAATAAGAAAACTAGAGCAAAATAACTGTTTTTTTTAGCGCCACCCTAACTCAATTCAAGAAAATAGCTCTAAATCGGCCAAGTTAAGAGATACAAAAAAGATGTTTTCAACAAAGTTGCTTGAAATTAGCTCAGCTATAACTTTGCCCAAGAATGTATACCTTAATTTATTCATACACAAAAGTTCGATTTTTGATTTTAATGATAATAAGAACCACCCTAGAATTCATTGTCATAAAAATGAGGGTCTAACTATAAGGAACAACTTTGTAGAAGAGACTTTTAGTCTAAAGTTTCAATTTCAGGCTCAAAACATATTCCACCTAAATCTACATTCTGAACCACTGTGCATTGTTACAAGATAATCGGGGATTGGAGACTTATATGTGGGAGTTTCTCCAGATAAGTTCCATGCCGAACTACACCAGAAAGATGACGAAATCGGAACAATTAGATCCGAGAGATTGCAAATTCGATCTAGGCCATTTGCCAGTGGTCAGATAAATAAATAATGATTATAAGAATTAATGTTTTTTTTTAAAGCTGAAACGCATGTTTTTATTTTTTTATTTTTATGAAAATCAAAATGCGAAGTACACCTGCGATTAAAACTTTCGGATCCTTTTATTGTGGAATAATCAATATTTAAATTCAGTTTCAAAAGCAGGGATTTCCCGTTGAACAAACGCCATTACGGCCTTCTTAAGTCCCTTTCCAGCTGCTTTGCGAACTTCCTTGGAGCATTTGGCTTCACATTCTCTGTGCAACTCTTTTCGGTTGATTAGCTTCAGGACAGATGCATTTCCTTCGTGGTCTTTCAGACAATGTTGAAGGTCTTGAAAAATCGGAAACAAAAACCATTGTTTCAATTGAGTTGGTAGTTTTAAAGGAATATAGTACTTACATCAGCATTAAATGAAATAAAATAATTGGAGTCTCGGCTATTGTAGTCTGGGGAGTTCAAACGGTAGTTTTTTTAAACTACCCAACGTTTTGGCGGTTTTTGCCAGCCTTCCTCGAGGGAAATTTTTTCTACTGTAATAAAATTTCCCCTGAGAAAGGCTGCCAAAATAGCCTGAACGCTGGGCAGTTAAAAAACTACGATTTTAACTCGCCAGACTGCTTATCTAAAACTCCAGTTAATCAATTACAAGCCATCGGAAAATTTTCCACCGAAAACCCGATGTAAACATAAATAAAAACAAAAGTCTTTATAAATTCAGGGTTGCCAAACTCATGGGATATTGACGCCTTGATTGATAGATTTCGGCTCATTCGGCAAAGCGTAGCCACAGTTAATGCACTCGGCATAGATTAAGGTGTGCAAAGTTGAGTATTTGAGTTGGATATTTGAGTTTTCTTACTCAGGTTGAACTTATGCTTCAGCTATTTAACGGTGCACAGGTACGATGTGTGCTCTGCATCTGTACGGACACGAAAAATTTCATAGTTTTAGAAAAGAACTTTAGTGCAAAGCACGTGCAAGTGATGCAAGATGACGATTATTAGGCGATTTGCAGGCCGACCAGATGGTTCGGATTGCAGGCGGATTGTGCAAGAGTTTCTGGAGATGAAGTGTTGTGAAATGTTGAGCTAGAATTACGAGATGCAACAGTCTTTCAAGTTTTTGTTGCACGGGCAAACTATCGTTCGTTTGGTGAGGTCGTTCCTGTTTATTTATTCACCTGTTTCAGTATCATTTATAAGTAAACCATGGCCCACTTAGTTATGGGACAAACTCTTTTGCTTATTACAGCGCTCTTAGTGGACCTTTTCGGAAGCTTTTGATGTCTATTTGTTGACAAAACCAATAACAATAAGAGTGTACCGCCACCATACAAGAGGAGCGTAGAAAAAAAAAACGTGCACAGTTATGTGTTCCTTGGAACACCGTATGGCGCGTGATCAAAACGTACAGGGAAACCTTGACGACGAATCAGAAACCTCAAAGTAAACGCCAGAGTGGAACTGCCAACCGTCAGCTCCATGGAAAGGTCGTGAGGTTAATCAGAAGCAACCCAGGTATGTACGATCGCGAATTGAGTAAAAAGTATGATGCCGCCCGTAGTACAGTGCAGATAATTCGCTACCGTGAAGGCTTGCAGGCATACCGCTCCAGTAGGCAACCAAGCCATCACTCAAGCAGAATTTGAATTTGATTTGG